TTATTTTCTGACGTTGTCGCACCATTTGTCAGCTAAATAAAATATTATTCAATTACTCGGCTGGAGAAAAATAAACATCCTTTTCTTTTCTCTTACTTCATTCGTAGTCAATTGTTGATCAGTCTCTAATTGAATACTTCCACTACGAAGTTTATCTGCGGTTTGTTTTAGAACGGTTATTGTATGAGCAACTTTCTTCGGCGATGCTAACGTAATTTCTTTTTGTACAAGTTTACCTAATTTATTTGTTGATTTAATGTCATGCCGGTCGGCGAGGAGATCAAGTGCTTTGCTAACAATTGTCTTATAATCTTCAGCCTCATTCGATGGTTGTGCCGTCGACAAAACATCATTTAAAACATATTCATCTGCTTGTGGTCGATTTGTTTTTAACCATTTCCGAAAATGATCAGTAATTAGCTGATGGCCATCATCAGCAATCGTTGCAGGTGGTAAACCTGTCACGCCTTTCGTTGATTCGGTTTGATGTGAACTTGTACAACCCATTGTTATATATATCGACAAACGATCAATAGTAATTACTCATCATTCCAAACATTCTTTTCTCTTTCTTGTGGGCTTCTGGATCTACATATATAGATGAAGAGAGAGAAAAATATATATATATATGCAAGAGCCCTCGTTCTATCTCCCACGTCTCTCGTTCCCTGCTGTTTCTCTTCTTCTCTAGTCTAATTTCACTTGTATGCAATACAAACCTACGATGACTATTACTCTGACGTCGCTCGAGAAATAAGCGCATGTGCATGCGTTCAATTATTCAGTAAAGGAAAAAGAAAAAAGAAATCTAGAGTCGATAATACTATTCTTCATCATTTTTTTTCTCTTGCTTCGTTCAATGATAAGCAATGAGTTGAACTATTAGTGCGAGAAGAATGCAAATCCACATCATTGATTTGATTCTCTCTCTCTCTCTCTCTCTGCTTCTTTTTTCTTCTTATATATTACTATTGTGTATTCCCTCTTCGTCATGCTCATTCGTTACGTGTTTTAGACATGCACCATTCGTGTGTGTCATAAACTAATACATTGAATAATGAATTTTAGTTTCTGTTGACGTGTAAAAATGGTGAAGATAACAATAGTTTACTTCT